ATCTTTCTTAAAACGTGGTGCCCATAACTGGACACAGTACTCCAGCTGAGGCCTCACCAGTGCTGAGTGGAACAGGACAATTACCTTTCTGGTCTTACATATGACACTCCTGTTAATATGCCCCACAATGATATTTGCCCTTTTTCCAACTGCATAACATTGTTGATCATATTCAAGTTGTGATCCACTATAACCCCTCAGATCTTTTTCAGCAGTACTACTGCCTAGCCCATGCTCCCCCGCCCCTCATTTTTGTGCATTTGACTTTTCCTTCCTAAGTGTAGTACTTTGCCTTTGCCATCACTGAATTTCATCTTTGATTTCAGACCAATTCTCCAATTTGTCACGGTCATTTTGAGTTCCAATTTTGTCCTCCAAAGTGCCAGCAAGCCCTCCCAGCTTCATATCATCCACAAATTTTATAAGCACACTCTCCACTCCATTACCCAAGTCATTAGTGAAAATATTGACTAGTACCAGATCTAGGACAGACCCCTATCAGACCACACTAGATACATCCTTTCAGTTTGACAGCAGGTAGTTTGCCCTCTGAAGAGTAATGCCTGAAAGCGAGAGTCTAACGTTTCTCAAGGACAGCAATAAACTCCTTACTGTCTGCCATGTCTCAATCTAAGGAGGGTCTAAACAGGCAAAGCTTTTGAAAGTATTAACTTTTTAATTCTGGTGTGTCATCTAGACTACTATACTAACAACTTTCAAGAGTCATACCATGTTCTGGACTGTTCTGTGAAGGAGACTTTCAGCATCATCTGGATGTCTTCTAAGACATTTTCTTGAGTTCTTGATTTACTAATGGCAAACTAACAGACTAGAAAAGTAAGTCACTTGCGCCTTGGTCAGTTCTGTGGTGTTTCTTGACCCTATATCATGGATTCATTCTCCTCTGTACAGTTTTGGTGGGAGAAACTTCCTTCGCCTTTCCAGGGTGAATCGCATCTGATCAGCTGCTACTTTGGTCAGGCAAGAAGGTGCCTAAATATTCAAAGCACTCTTCTGTTCCCATCAGAACAAGCAATTGAACAGGAAGAAATGGTATGGAACAACTTTGCCTATGTAATTCACAACAGCAGTTTTAACATCTTATCCTTTCTTGGTTTACTCCTGTCATTTAAGTCAGAGAAAATTAAACAGCTGCTGCTAATACGACGTTTGTAACTAAAAGGAGTCTTAGCAAGATGGAAAAAGTCCCTGAAGATGCCAAAAGATGTAGGTATGTTAAGCGTTGGTGTTGTTAACTGCCACTGAAGTAGAAGATGCAACACATCTAGTGGGAAGTCGTGTGGTGAGAACACAGAAATAGTGATCAGCTACAATAATCTTTTTGATACTGACATTCAGTTGTGTGTGTTTACAAAGCTAAGTAATTCAAGGTTCAACTATGTTAATATTTTCTTTTCTCTCAATATATGAAGTCTCAGACAGTGGTTTTTAAACATAGAATACACAACTGTTTGATGAATGAATTTAAAGGAAATGAATTAATAAAAAAAATACTACCATGAGAACCAAAATAAAATAATTTTTTGCACTGAATTTTTCTTCTAATTTGTCCTGCCTTTTGGAGGTCCGTACCCTTTCTATTTCCATCCAGAACATTGTTTCAAAGACCCACTTTATTCCACAACTATGTCTCCCCTTTCCAGATTACGTCACTGGCTTAAATACAAGCGTCTCTTCACATTCAAGGCAAATGCAAAACTGTATCTCCCTACATCTCTACCTTCATCATCTTCTACAGATCATACACTCTTTCTGGTCCACCCAAACCTGTCTTCCGATAGCTCCTTTCTCATTTACCCACTCATACTAGTGCCTGAGTTCTTGATGTCCCACACTATCAGAATACGTCCAAAAATCATAAATCTAGCAGGGGAAAATCAATAATTAAAAATATCAAAAATATCAAATTTTATTTAAATTAAATGAAGGGCTATTTTTAAAAAAGCAGCCCATTTTATTTTAAACTTTTAAACTGATAACCTATTTTAAAAGATAAAAAATTATAATCTATTAAAATCATTTTAACTGAATACAAAAAAACAAGATTAAGCAGTACGTTTGCTGTAAAATTTTAAAGGAAGTCAAATCACTGAACTGGTGGAAGTCACTGGCTAAGCACCTGGAACCAAAATTTGTTGATGTGCTAAACCAGCTTTTGATAGCATCAGCTTCCCCTGCATGTGCAGAGAGAATATTTTCTTTATTTCAGTTTATTCAGCTAGTTCAGTTCAATGACTAGTTCAGTAAAAGATAAGAAGTTGATTTGGAGCTGAAAAAGCATGACAGCTTGTTTTCCTCCTCCAATTTAGGACTGAAAACTAGATATGAAAGGGTGAGATAGACTAGTTCTAAAATCTTGAAAGACATGGTGACAAAAAACAAATCAGTAATTGCATTAATTACAGACAATACTGCCTTTAATAAACCAGTTAGTATTATGTGCAAAACATGTTTGGGGGGAGGGGGCGAAGGGGAGGGGAGAATCATGAGTATCCAGACTTGTAATGTAGTTTTATTTAATAAAATTAAAATACTGTTTGTGCATTTGTTTGAATTTCCATCTAAACAGACTTACATCACAAGAAACAAATTAATCAATTTAAGGAACGTATCATTCATTATTTTCTAACATTAAAAATGTCAAAATTAAGACTCTGAATACATGCAAGATACACTATATAAGGTCTTATATAAGATCTTAAATAAATGTGTATAGACATAGTGTACCCTGATTAGCAAAAAGCAGCACCGGATTTAGGGGAATGTTTAGTTGCAAATCAACATGTTTTAACCACATCTTTATCAACTAATAAGAACCAACCTTCATTCAGAAAATAACTGAAAAGTCCGAATTCAGAAAACAAATTACACAATTCTTGCTTACTGATTCAAATCAGCATTAAAATTGGTGTCTTAATTAAATTGCACTTATTTAAATCAATCCACCCTGAAATCAAGGGCTTTACTCTTGGAAAACAAACTTGGTCAATTATGTATTCCATTTACAATGACAGAACCCTGTTATATTCCCTTCACGGCACTTGTTTATGGAGGTACTGTACCCACTCATGACTATTCTCTAACTTCATTGGGACAAGATTCTGGCCTACTGTAGAACACCTAATTATTATTATACTGGAAGTCACTTTCCTTATTATTTTGCTTTTCTGAAGATACCTTGCAGGATTTTCACTCCTGAGGCTTGTGCTACAAGGCTTTTGATACCTATGGGCCATAAATAGTGAGAGTCCTGAAAGGCACCTTGAAGGAAACAGAATTACAATGCAATTAATTTCTCCATTTCTAAAGATATTTACTGAGCAAGGATTCTCAGTCTACCACAGACTCTACCACAGGACTCTACTGGGAACCACAGCGACAAAAGCAGCAGCATGTTGGGCCACTGATCCCAGGAGCCAACAACATGCACCAGCAGCTGTACTACCCTCAGCCCTGCCCACTGTGGCAGGCAACAGGCTCACTAGCAGCTGTTCCTGGTCGTGCTAGTGTGCGCAAACAGCTTGCACACTCCCGGACAGAAGACACACACCACTGCGTGGAAGGACTCCTGTCGGGGAGCATGCGAGCTGCTTGCTCACACTAAATCCAGGGGCTGTGCAGAGAACTTCTAAACCAAAAGGTGCTAGGGGTATCAGTGTCAGGGCCAGTGCTTGTGCTAAGGAGAATTCTATGGGTGTAGGCAAAAATCTCAGTGTAAAATGCACTGAACAGCTCATGACATGGAGCAAGAGGGAAGAATCAAAGACAGCCTTGTGGTCTTTGAGGCAGTCTTAGAGATAAGGGGTGACTTGGCCAGGTCTCATATTCAGCAATACTCATTTTGCTACACAGGCATTATTTGAAGATTCTATGTGGTCTTCCTTCTTCTCAAAGGGTCACAGCAGTACATGATATAGTGAAACAAGAAGCACTTGAAACCAATAGCCTCTGGAGTTGAAGTAATTCTGAAGCGCAGAGAATCAAAATCTTGAGGTAACAAGCTGTGGCTGTGAAGAGTGCCAAGGCAAATAAGGTGCTGAAATGTTCTATGCAAAACAGAAAACCTGGGTCAAACAGATTCCAGAATAATTCCAATAATTCCAGAAAAAGGTGCCATATTAGTGCTCCTGAACCAGTGGTAACAAGAGAAACAAGGTTTTCCAAATCACATAAGAACAGGATCTGAGCAGAAGGCAAGGAGGGCTGCATGTGGAAAAGCATATCTGAAGTCTTCAACTCACAAGGTGGGTTTAATAGCCAAAATGAAGAAGTGCACCTCCCATGTGAAGTTTCTTCACTGATTATGCTCAAGAATGTTTCCAAGGTGAGCAGAGGTAGGAGTCCTAGCTATTAAGCATTTGCAGGAAGGTAGATCATTACGTAAGTCCCACTGCCTCTGCCCAATAATCTTAAATCCTGAGAGCTTTTGCACCGAGCACAAGATCCAAAACTGATGAATGATGCAAAAATTGTATCTTTAAAGGGAAACTACTAATTTTAGATCTATTCAAAGTAACGGAGATAAATGATTTTCCTAGTTAAATCAACCAAGAGACATAGGTACAGAAAGTCTTAATGCATGATAAACAGTTTAAAATTATCCTGATCCATTTTCATTAGATGACCACTAAAAATTAGAAGGGGAAAAAAAATCACATTTGCCTCTACATTAGGCTCCCTAAATTAAACTACTACTAAACAGACCAACATATGTTGTGATTTTGTAGTTGATAATGATCGAGTCATACATCTAAACCATAGGCTAGATGCCTTTTATAGTTTAAAAAAATAGTAAAACAGCAAATACACCCAAAGGAAGTATTATACCAAAGACAACACCCACAAGTCTGTGGAAAAATACAAGAACATTTTCTAATGTAAGTAGTAAGACTATATGTTTATGGAAAAATCAGAAATGCATTCAAAACAAACTCAAACATATCAAATATTTCACAATAAGATAGTAAGTGTTAATTTACCTTTGGTTTTTTGTTCAGCAGCCTGAAAGAAAAAAAAGTCAGAAATACTGGTCAGTATTAGACACTTTCTACTACTGTTATATCAAAGATATAGGACTGTACCCTTGACCCTTTAAAATTTCCTCTCTTGCAGAGAACTTCCTTGAACACTGAGTCCTTGCTTTAGGAGAAACCTGCTGATATCTTATTAGGACTGCACTACTGTCACACAACATTATTTCTACTTTAAATTTAACCCTATTTAGCTATGCTCTTAAATGACCTGAAGTTAGCATCACTAACTTTGTTATGAAGGTTAACATCAAAGCTGTATCCCAGTTAATATTTACTTATAATTTATGAAATTTGCAGATACAGATAACTCCCCAAAATATCCATATAATTATTAATGGCAATGTCTATAAAACCCAGGGGACAAAATCTTTACATGGCTGTAGCATGAAAATAATTCAAAACCAAATGCAAGGGCTCCGCTGCAATATAGGATTTGAGAAATATGAAACTCTGGATTTTTTTTTTTTTTTTTAGATAGATAATGTGTGAAGTTGATTTATCTAAATATTTGTTTGGGCTGAAGCAAAACAAAAGTCTGGAAGTCCCACTTTCAGAGATGAAGTGCACAACACAAGGAATTAGCTTCTTAAAGATAGCTTTGCCCCATTCTGAAAAGTTTCTACATAATAATGTTCACTGAACTATTATAGCGGCAGCATAGCGTGTGGGAATGTTTGTAGACACATCTGTATTTATACCACTTATAAATCCAATTAATATGTAATATGCTATCCAATTAATAAACTGAAGAACCAAGAGATCAGTGCAATTTACCTTGCACCACCCTTGACTGCCTTTATCTGTATTCTGCTCACTGATCCATCTAATCAGGACTACTTCCACCTTTCCAAACCTCAGGACACCCTTCAACCTGCCACTTTTAAAAATAAAATACAAGTGTTGAAAAAAGTTTCTTTCCTCACTTGAAGCCAATGACTGGGTGTACTCAGTCTCAGAAGAATGACTATTTACAGCCCAATTTAATGATCCAAGTCTGAGAATGAGAGATAGACACAATAGGGAGCTAGGTATCCCTTTTTCCAATAAGATACTGCACATATCCTTAAGATATTATGAAACCTTAGAGCTTAAAAATGTAATATGATCTACAGTCAGGCTATATTAGAGGTTACTAATATAAATTTATCTTTCTTCTAGATGTCTGTGAAGTTGGACTCTTGGGAATTAAGTACGCTGGCTTCAAGTGGAGGGATTAAAAAAAGTATCATTGTTTTTCTTATGTAAAAAGTACACAACAACGCCATTAATGGTGTATAGGGGTAATGAGGATTTATTGGTACTGCTCTGAGATTATCCACATATCCCATATTTTTGCTATTTATTATACCATGAGTCCATCTAGAACACATGCCCAAAAACTATGTTACACTACCCATCATGGATATGTAATACATATTATAAAGGGAGCTATTAGCAATCCCTATATTTAGTTTGCTTAACACTTCCCATTATAAAAGATTCAGAGAACTTTTCAGAAAAGGTTGCAACTCTCCTATTGTTTCCAGCAGGTGTTCAATATTCAGCAAAGAAAAGCCACGGGGCCAGATAAATGCCTTTTCTTTGTCCCACTACATTCAATTCGTGTTTGTCAGATATAAAAACTTTTCAAAATCTCCATTTTCCTTCCGCTGCTTGCATGCCTCAGGAAAAATGTTTGCAGCATTCCAAAACAGTAAATGAATATAAACATTCTAATTTAAAGCTAGGCTCACGCCAAATCCAAAAAACAGCAGCTTCACTTCACTCAGAATCCTGGGAGCAGGCAGCCTCTCTGCAAGAGACAGAGACACACAGGATGGTTTCCTCTGCATGACACTCGCACCTGAACCTCCAGGTTTTTTCCCCCTGCTTTATATGGGGAAGAAACTCCCCATATCTGGGAGAAGAAGGGAAGAGAAACAGGCTAAGTTCCCTCAAACACCTGTGAACTCGGTGACTCATTCCCTCCCCCAGGATAACACAACAGCAATCTCCAGCTACTAGCTAAAGGAAATAATCCTGTACCTGAAGCAGTGCTGAAGATTCAGGGTTCAAACACTGCCAGTGATGCATGGTGGGGGTGTTACAGTAGCACATTATTTTTATCTTTTTCTTTTTAAAATGCTTGGAAATTTTATTAAATAACCTGTTAAAAGAACCTTATTTAGGTTGCAAAGTCAAACACTCAATTTAGGAAATGACAGAATGTAGGTTGTCCAGGCAACGTTAATCCTCTTCCCTTTTGTATATGCCTTGAGATACAGTTTTTAATTATAGAACATACTATTTTTTCCACAAGAATCCTGTTTCTTTCAGTGCACAGGATGGACAGTGCTCAACAAAAGATTCACTGTTGTGTAATAAGTAAGGCTGTTTGTAGGAGTCCTGCCTCATTTGCCCTAGAAGTTGGAAGGGAATGAGGTAGGGGATTGCAGGGAGAGAAAGAATGGTCTTGTAATTAAGGGAGGTGATTGCACGCAGGAGAAAAATCAGCTCAATCCCTGCCTATGCCACAGTCATATACAAATGCTGAGTAAGTCACTAACCAAAATTTCATCATTGTGCAATTCCTCATTTTCTAGGTGCCCAACTTGATACCCCCCTTGGGGCTGGAAATGCAGCAATATCGAGCACTCAACTGCAAATGAAGTCATTAGAACTGTGGATGTTTAGTACCTCTTGCAATACAGTAGTGTGGTCAGAAGGAATGAGCACAGGCTTAGAACTCAGGACCCTCTAACTCCAAGCTCACTAGTCCAACTGTATGTCCTCAATCAAGTCTTTGTCTTAGCTTCCTCATCAGTAAAATGGGGATAAAACAGTACTCTCTTATCTTGAAGTAGAGAGAAATTCATTCATATTTGTAAAGCTTAGATACTATGATGAGTCCCATAAAAGAGACCATAAGGAAATGAACAGTTTTGTACTCACTGAAAACTCTGGATGGTGTACGCTAAAATTAAGGCAGGGGACACTAATTGAGTTAGATGGATAAAAATATTTACCAGTTATTTCATTCCTTGAGCATCATTCACCCTGTGCTCTTAAAGAGGCAGGGTTCCTTCAGAAAAAAAAACATTATGTGATCATGTAATTAAAGCCTATTACAATGCATGGGCACAACGAAGGAGAATTAAGGTTGCATGTGTGACCTAAGCATTTACTAGCTTTCAAGACCTTACTTTTGCAACCTAAATACTGTTTAATATAGTAGTTTGTATGTAATTAATAGATAAATACAAATTCTACTGATTGTAAATACCAAATTAATAATGAATTATAATACTCATACCAGAAACCATCCCATCGTGAGTATTAGTGGCATGACTTCTGAATAGTCTCACACAAAGGTAAATGACTATGTACATGAGGTTTTAACAAGGAGTTTATTTTTGGATGCCATTGTAGTAGCTTGTTACCCAAGTACTGAAATATATTGTTCATCTATTTATCAAATAGTTAATATTTCCCTCCACTTTCATTTAAACTATATTGCATTTTTATAAGAACTTTCCATATTTGTTATATTATTATTGAGTTTGTACTAAACAGATAATTAAATATGTTTTAATAAGTGCTTATGTCATGTACTGCTGCAATTTGGAGCTATCCATTTCAATTTGATTTTTTTAATGTTTATCAATTATTCACATTTTAAATGTAATTTATATATGCTTATTCTAGCAAAGTTTTAATAAGTTTTCCTAATATCTTGCCGCATTATCCAAGATACTCTCATGTTGCCCAAATATTTCCTCCCATCAGAGCTCCTCCTGAAAGAGTAGTTCTTAGTGAAAGGGTATGAGCAGCCTAAAATAGGACCAATAAAAACCAAACTCATGTTATTTTCTAAATTTCTTAAGACATAAAAACCATTGGTGCTATTTGCAGGATGCTACACGAGTTAGATTTAATAGATTAATTAATAGATAACATATATAGCGCTAGCCATAATTTTCAGCTGACCACTTAAATGGATATTGAATGAAATCCATGAATTCAGCAACTTCATATACACGAGAAAAAAAAAGTAGTAAAGTGGCTGGAGGTGGCGGGAAGGAGAGGAGGTACCAGTACATGGAAAACTTGAGACTTGATCTTGCAACTCTTATACAGTTAATGTGACTTCTCATTAAAACTATCTAGAATTAATTCACATGAGTAAAGGCCACAGGACCAACTCCATATAAGCGTTCAAGTAACTGCATCTCTAAAATGCAACAGTGTAGACTAACCTTTTTCTGAGCACCTTCCTTCTTTTTCTTTTCTTCCTGCTTTTTCTTTTTCTTTTCTTCCATCAAATGTTCCTCTTCTTGAATTTCTTGTTCTTTCTCCCTATTAAAAATAAGCATTGGGAAAGTTTATGAATGAGGTCAGTCGTATCAATCAAGACAAACAATATACATAATATTAATGCTACAAAGAACATCTCTCGGAAGTAATATCCGAAAACACTATTCTCTAAAGTTCCAACAAGTAGTATTCCAACAGAATTGTTATGAAAAATTCCAAACCAAAATTCCAAAGCCAAATAAAGAGAATGTCTACTTGCAAACTCCTACCAAAAGACTAACTGACAAAACTGGATTTTTTTTAAGATTCTGACCAAATCTTCCATCCCATATAATTTGATTTATATGGAATTCTAAAACATCCAAAACAACAACAACAAAAAGTAAGTATTATTGTTTGGCAAGTAAGGAGTAAGCCAGACAACTCCCTTGTAATAATAATAAAATAGCTAGGGTGTAGACATGAAAGCTCAAAAATATTACCTTTTAATGGTTTATTATACCACCCCACCACAGCCACTCAAAATTAGGCCCCACCACGCCGTCACTCACCCTCACTCACTTTTACTGGGCTGGGGCAGGGAGCTGGGATGTGGGAGGGGATGCGGGCTCTGGACTGGGGCCAAGGGGTTCAGAGTGTGGAAGGGAGCTCCAGGCTGAACCTGGATCAGGGGGTTGGGGTTCAGGAGGGGCTGAGGGGCACAAGCTCTGGGAGGGAGTTGGGGGCAGGAGGAGGCTCCAGACTAGAGCAGAGTGTTGGACCACAGCAACTGGGAGCTGCGAGTGGCCGTACCTGCGGACGCTCAGGTAAACAAAGTGTGTTGCGGCCTGCCAGGGGCTTACCCTGAACAAGCTGCAAACTAAGTTTGGGGACCCCTGGTATAGGGTTATCTTTGGTTTTTCTGCCATCCTTACAATTCTAGGCTCTCTTGTAATCTTATTGCTGCTCCCTCTCATTTTTAAAATCTGCCCCTTCATTATATTCATGCACCAAGGCCTGGATCCCAACTCTTCAGCCATTCTAAAACATTGCAGCTAAAATAGTCTCTCTCTCTCTCTCTCCACTCTTGAATATTTGCTTTTAAGTGAGAGGACTTGTCTACACAATTTGCCACACACTAACTCCATGTGGACCCTGCTGACTCATATGAGCAGTTCATTAATGTGCTTTCATCTAGTCCTGTTCGAAACAAGACTAGATCAAAGCGTATTAAACTGTTTGTGTGTGTCATCTGGGTCCACAAGGACAGTTAGTTTGCGGCAAGCTAGTGCAAGATAGATTCATGTTCCAGCTTGCTGCAAACTCAATGTTCATGTAGACGGGCCCCAGCGTCTCTTCATCCTACAGTAGCAGCTATTTTTGTCAACCCAAGAAAGCCAATGAAGTGGCATCAGCACAAGAAGTGCTCCTGTGGGATGGGATGTTCCATGTTCATGATACCATTCTCAAAATGCCATTGTAGGGTCTTTACTTCGCAAAAAGAAACCCACTTAAAAGCATAAAAAGAAAAGAATTTTAAATAATAAATTTAAATTGTGTTCCCTTGTTTAAAATATAAAACAAAACAAACACCTCCCTGCATTTTGGCTTAGGGTAGAAATGCTTTCATGGATGGAATAATGTCCATCCTTGAAATGAGCCATTACTATTGGAAATATAATTTAGGATCTGAAATATTGACTGTTACATTTTTATACCAGTTTAGAATGGTACTAATTTAGCTTTCTTTATTTTATTTATTTATTTTTAAAAAAACACTTTTCAGTGAGGTTGTAACACATAAATGTAGGCTTGGAAGTTCAAAGTTGAGATTCAAACAATACTGGATAAAATTGTCTTTTGTCAAAATAAACCTTTACAAAACCTAAGACCATCTTGAATGTTTATATGAATTTAAGAGTGGAGCATTATGCTGGTATGGGGAAACCTGTTAAACTAGATAGCTGAGGCAGTGCTTATAAGTTGCATTTTTCTAGACCCATGTTCTTGATGACCTGGAGAAATAATATGTTTAAGGCTGTCAAAGGTAAACATGATGCTGACCTGGATTCGGTTTTCTTTCTTTCTGAGATACAAATATATAAATTTTAAAAAATGATTGTTTAATGGTTAATGAGTTGAGATGGAACTTAGAAGACCTGGTTTGAGGCTTCCGTGCAGCAAGGTACTTCAAGTATGTGAGTAGTTCCTTGAAATCAATTGCACTTCTTTTTTTAAGTATGTTGCTGAATTGAAGCGTCAGTACCAGTCTCTGTCACAGACATCTTCTCTCACCTTGGGCAAGTCATTTACTTGGTCTGTCTCAGTTTCCCGTTTGTCAATCGGGGACAGTAGTTCCCTACCTCACACAGATGCTGTGAGGATAAATTTGTTAATGTTTGTGAAGCGCAGAGGTATTATGTGAGCTGCACTACATCTCTCTCCCTGAGGTTGAGTCATTATGTGCTTCCATGGACTCAGATTAATGTAGATTCTACCTTACATATTGATTTTCCCAGACAGAAAGTTCCATTGAAAAGGTAGTTTTTCCACACAACCTCTTTTTTCAATGGCAAAATGTTTCATTCAGAATTTTTTCATCTATTTCTTAACTTTCGAATTCTAAGTTTAGTTGACTTTGGATAGATCATGTAGACAAATGCAAAGCACGCATGATACAATCCACATGAATACTGTGCGGAATGAAGTACAATTAATTTAAATGACAAACTTTCCTTGACTGTGCTTGATAACAGTGTTATAAATGAAAACACAATGACCACTGCGTAATGTTAACTAAAACGAAAGCTCCTATGATCCATGTTTGGCTAGAAAAGTGGTCACCAACCGGTAGATCGCGATCGACTGGTCAATCCTGGAGCTTCTGACAGTCAATTGTGATCTCCAGCTGCTAAAAGACCGGCGGTGCAGCGGGGCTAAGGCAGGCTCCCTGCCTCACCTGGCCCTGCATCGCTCCCGGAAGCGGCCATCACACCCTGAGGCCCTTGGGGAGGAGTACGGGAGGGGGCAGGGGTCTCTGCACGCTGCTCCTGCCGGCAAGCACTACCCCTGGAGCTCCCACTGGCTGGGAATGGGGAACTGCAGCCAATGGGAGTTGCGGGGGCGGTGCCTGCAGAGAGGGGCAGCATGTGGAGCCACACTTCCCCCTCCCCCACCTTCCTCCCCGCCAGGGGGGGCGGGGTGTGGGGCCGGGGCAGGCAGGGAGCCTGCCTTAGTCCCGTTGTACCACCATCTGAGGTAAGCGCCGCCCGGTGGGAGCCCACATCCCTCCCGCATCCCAACACCCAGCCCTGAGCCCCCTCCCAGAGCCAGCATCCCATACCCCCTCCTGCACCCCAATCCCCAGCCCTGAGCCCCCTCCCAGAGCCAACACCCCGTATCCCTCTTGCACCCCAGCCCAGAGCCCTGTCCTGCACTCAAACTCCCTCCTGGAGCCTGTACCCCCTCACCCCCCCTCCTGCACCCCAACACTCTGCCTGTGTAAATCTCCTACTGACATCTAAACATAGCCTCTTTGCCAAACAGTATTTATATCCAACTTAAAATACAAAATAAGGACTTGGCACCACTGAGCTGAATGGTAGAAAGAGACAGTGGACGAAGACAGAAGGCCTATATTTCTGCTCTGTCCACATAGAAAACTCCCTCCCCTCCCCACCCCCGCAAGTTAATGCATATTCAACTTAGGAAAGACCTGTGCATGGTTACAGGTGGCTCCCTGTAGGCTATAACAATGGTGGCTGAAACAAGGCTCAGGAACTCACCAGACTAGGATGTGTGGAGCATGCAGACACATGCAGCTGCTCTCCCAACCTTACGCTAATTTCTAGAATGCTGCATATTTCACATTTTCAAAAATACCATGAAATAAAATGAACCAAAAAAAAAAAATCCTCAGACAGACACTCCACAGAAGCAGCTCCTGTCCTCCTTGGCGGGGGCTGCCTCTCCACTCTGGGCACTGACATGGCGTACACAGTTGCAGCACCACTCACTCAAATATGGCCCTGCCCCTGCTCTGTCATCATGACAGAGGGCCACCAAGACAAACCTGAGCAGCACTGCAATCCAACATGCCAGGTTGCAACATCCAGAGAGGAAAGCCATGCCCAGCCCCATGGGACAGGAGCTGCTGCTGCTGCTGCTGGGTGAGTGCAGGGCAGGTTCAACTCCGCAATCCACCTTAGGCCTCCCACCCCACCTGCAGGAGGCACGCCACTGCTGCTCCACAGCAGCTCCAGCAGGGGAAGAGTTCCTGGGAACAGTGGGGAGGCTGAAGTGTTGGGACTCAAGAGAGGAGGTTCAATGAAAGAAGAAGAATATATAAATGGGGATGGGGCACCCAAGGAGGAGTCCCTAGATATACTGGGGTGGGGGGTACGGAGAGCTGGAGAAGAAAGCATTAGGGACTGGGAAGATCCATGGTCTCCCATGGGGTTTGTGTCATTGAGTGAGGATGGAGAAGTGGATGTTATATGGGGGTCGCAGTACTGGGATTTATATATAGTCATTTCAGGTATTTTATTAATGTAAACATAGAAAAAATTAAATGGATAAAATTTTAATAGATAAAATGAAACAAATTCCCCAAAAAGCAAAATAAAAAAATGTATAAAAATTTAAAATTTATAAAAATTCACAGGGCTTTACTGATTTCAAAGGGCCATATTCATTGCTGTAGCTATAGTTAGTCCAATGCTACCTGAAGAGGTTTAGGTGACCTCTTTCCACCACACTTACACTGCACGCAGAAATTAAGAAATTATGTACAGGTAATTTTTAAGTTGTTTTTAAATAACTCTTCTAGTGCTTTGCAGAAAGATAAGGAGGTTGGACATCATCTGTGCCGCTGATGGATTTTGAGAGTAAATAGAGCCGAGACTATGATACACAAGTCTGGTTCTGCCGAGGAGAACAGGAAAAACCCCTGTTGGAATGAACTCAGATTTGACAGAAAATTTAGGTCTCCCAAAGATGAAGCTTCATGCAGTGTTATATATTTGCTCCATCAATGCAGATTTGGATACCAATCTTGGTTAACA